TAAAGTTCCATTTCAAAAAGATTGCAATATTGTAAAAAATTACAATGTTCTTACTGACTAGGATTTTTTCTTAAGACCAAATATCCAAATAATTTAAAGGTTCATTTTTGTAACATATTGTATATTCTATCACAATTTGCCCCAAATAATTTCAATAACCCCAAACTGAGACAGATACTAACTTCTGATGAAGTTCATCGGTGCACTTCTCTTCTCCCTCCTAGTAAAATAGCACAGATGCAAGACCATTCTAATTCCTGTCATCATCCATCACTATTATTGAATCCTGTTAAAATGAATGAATCCTATTTCTATAATTCAAAAGTCAATTATTAGTGACTTGCAGACAAGCCAGTATAAATGCTGCTTTTAATTTTTTCATAACTCATGGCTCTATTTAAGTTCCTTTTCTAACAATATCACCATTTCCTTCACTATTTCATTCCTAGCTTAAAGTCCAATAAGCACTATAATTATAAAAGTAAAAAGAATCAAATCCATGCCCTGACTGGTTTGGCTCAGTGGATAGAGCGTCAGCCTATGGACTGAAGGGTCCCAGGTTCAGTTCCAGTCAAGGGCATGTACCTTGGTTGCGGGCACATCCCTAGTAGGGGATGTGCAGGAGGCAGCTGATCGATGTTTCTCTCTCATCAATGTTTCTAACTCTCTATCCCTCTCCCTTCCTCTCTGTAAAAAAATCAATGAAATATATTTTTTAAAAATCAAATCCAGAAAGGACAGTCATAAAGGAGAGAAGGCAAAGTTATTTCCTGAAACTAAAACTTTAAATTTGACATGTGATCCTAAGTCAGCACTCTTAGTAAGCTATATTCCCTTCTTTTTAGGGCAAATAATCACAAGCTTACTGTAACACCAAACTTTTCCCTTCTTTGGTGTAATTTACTACTCAGACCCATTCAGAGAGTACCTTTCCTAACTGGCTTCTCCAGCCCACCTTTCTCCCAGTGAGTGGAACTCCCCAAAACAATGATACTGGAATGGAACAAATGCCAAAAGGACTCCATATCACAGAGATGAGAAATTGAAACTGATGTCTTCACTTTTCTAATAGCTCAAACACTAAATGGATGGGTTAAAGTTCAACTTTATGAAATCTGGCATACAAAAAAAATGAGTGGTTAATATCGTTTCTTGTATTTTACAAGACATATATAGGAGCTTGCCTGTTGCAACATACCATTTAAATGAAATTACTTATAAACTCAGTGGCAATTCTAGCACTGTAAAATTTTAAGTCAATATAAGCTATGATTTTTCCTATACACATTTTACACATCAAATTTTGTTTTCCTAAAATCAGGATTTAGAAGTCATACTACCATTTATAATCCATGAAAACACAAGGTACAGAACTTTCATTGAGTCTTTCACTCAATAACTGGTCCCATAATTGACATTCTGATATGCTGACTTATTTTTCTGTCATCTTCCTAATCGTCCAGAACATTATCCAAGAGTTCCTCTTTTCCTTATTACATCACTATGGAAGAACATGTGCTATCTTGGTTATCTCATTATGTGGAGGACAGCAACGTAACCCAAATGTACCACTGATTACAGATCGGCTTATGTTTTTATTTAGTGGAGGGGCCCTCAATTTAGTTCTATAAAACAAAGACATAGCATAAATATCAGTGAGGACATATACATATCGAATCAGATATGGATTGAACTCTCAACTCACAAGGGTGGATTCCTGCCAACAGGTGCTGTACCTCTTTTTACTTAGGGCAGTGGTCAGCAAACCGTGGCTCGCAAGCCACATGCGGCTCTTTGGCCCCTTGAGTGTGGCTCTTCCACAAAATACCACGTTTTTAGCAAAGGCCAGCTTAGGAGTACCTTAATTAAGTTAATAACAATGTACCTACCTATAGTTTAAGTTTAAAAAATTTGGCTCTCAAAACAAATTTCAATTGTTGTACTGTTGATATTTGGCTCTGTTGACTAATGAGTTTGCCGACCACTGGCTTAGGGCATGCTACATTATCGCTACTTTGGAGAATTTGAAGAGAAAATGCAAACTATTTGAGAAATCACTTCCCAATGGGGAGAGGGTGAATATAAATATGATTTACAAACCACAAAAACAAAGATCAATAAAAGGCCAAAACCGGTTTGGCTCAGTGGATAGAGCGTCAGCCTGCAGACTGAAAGGTCCCAGGTTCGATTCCGGTCAAGGGCATGTACCTGGGTTGCGGGCACATCCCCCATGGGGGATGTGTAGGAGGCAGCTGATCGATGTTTCTCTCTCATTGATGTTTCTAACTCTCTATCTCTCTCCCTTCCTCTCTGTAAAAAAATCAATAAAATATATTAAAAAAAAAGATCAATAAAAGGCTAAATTTTTGTTTACATTCCAATTAAATATGGACACAAATTCATTTTCCTGAGCAGATTCAACCTGTAATGATTTTCTTGCTCTCTCCATTACTGGTGTTTCAGTTGAAGTGTTCTTCCCTTCCATCTCCTTGTTAAACAGAGTTTATGTTTAAGAAACAGCCAATGGAACAAAATGTTCACAAATAATCTACACTGTGAAGATGGCCCTGCCACCAAGAAGTTGAAGCAGAACCCATTAATGTAATGGTTAAACAGTTTACGAATAATCAAGAGCTGGTTGTGTTCCACTTCAAAAGTCCGTATATATGACCTGTATTCTTTACAGTTCACTTGTCATCTCACTTGTGATTATACAAAAGTTAGTTGAACAGAGACTTAATGACAGGGCTAATGATCCAGAAATGTGAACATCCAAAATAAATGAACCTGAGATAAAAAAAAAATTGGCTGTGGATATTGATATTATCCTAAGAATTCAAAAAACAGTTGACAATGTCTGAACTGTTCTCTTCTCCCTCTTTCCCAAAAGCTAGTAAGTATAAACATAAAAATTACTCTCTCAGTAGAACCAGCTAGATGCTAATGTAGAACAAATGCTATGATAACCAAAATCAACAGATATTTTAATGGAGCTAGAATTTCAGTCAAATGCTGCTTAAAATAAGTGGGCCTACACTTAAAGGCATACCCATTTAAGGACAATTTATGATAGTGAATCTAACATAGCAAATTGAATGCATTTTTATCACTTTTATAAAGTAAATCTGTAAGTAGGAGACCATGACAAAGGGAAAAATATTCCAAACAATACCATTTTACCTAAGCTCTATATGATTCCAAGTGTTATTTAATGTGGCTACTACCACTGCATTATCTTACAGACAGTAATACTGAGAACTATCAGCAAACCACATTCTATATTTCTAAGGCTCAATAAACAGGCTCAAAAGAATAAAGTATTTTAAAAGGAACTAAACTTTTGCTCAGATAATTAACTCATCTTTGTAACTGGCCTAATCAAAATAGGATTAAGAAAATAAATGAGGGGGGAGACACACCACATTAATTCAAAAATAATTATTTGGATTGTAGCAATGCTCTCCCCTAATACAAGTAACTAAGAGCTCCTACATTCATAGTATTTTACAAAGCAGGTTAACATTAGATTTAGCAGGTTAAGTAGACTTTAACACACGTAGAACAAAGCAAACTATGTATCAAACCACATTTAAAGTTATATGTCTATAATGTTTTAAAACATTTGAAATGAAGCTTTTCTTTCTTATTGTTACTAAAGATTGAGAAAATTCCCCAGGAATGACAGGCTTTCCTTTATGAAGTAATTTTTAGGAACAAAAGTATAACTACAATGACTTCAAGACTTTCAACTTAGAATGCACATTTTTAAAAGCATCCCACCATGCATTTATCATTATAGGTTAAAATAAGCTTTTAACTTAATCTATACAAACTTATACTGCCTTAGCTGTTAACAGCATTTCCTTGCAATGAATACATTCTAAAAGTTACAATAAAAAGAGAAATCACCTGGCTTTTAAAAATAGGTATAAAGTCCAAAATGATGACTGGCCTAGCAATTATCTCCTCTTTTTAAGAGAACTGCAGACACCAAGAGTATTCAAAATAATGTATTTTGTATAAGGAATAAAATGCTCACTTAAAAAAAAAGTATTGCTTGCTGTCATCTTACTGCCATCAAAAGGATGTTTTATATTTGATGGAATTGTGACCATTCATAAAAGGGTATACATTTTAGAGCTTGCTATTGCATTCCTCCTCATTCCTGGTAATGCTGTCAGGTGCTCCAAAATGTTAAATCAGAAGATATCACATGAAGCCTCAATAAGACAGCTTATTTTAGCACGGCTAATAGGGTAAGAACTCATTAGAATAGGCTACTAAACATGGTATGATGAAACATGATGAAATAGCTCTGGCTTCCTAGACACATATAAACATACATGCTCCTCTGTATTTACGACTTCCTACTTTAACTTAAAAAGTTGCAAATTATGCCGTTTTACATTTTTATTGTGAATTGGTTCTACTTTTGAGCCTTAGCACTTCAAAATAAAACCTTAACTTTGAGTTAAACTGTTAAGTTTTTTTTGTGTCAAGAGCTAACTTTGATGTGTTAAAACTAAGTAAAATCCATTTACTCAATCCAAAACAGGCATTAAAAAGAAAAACCCCAAATGCTTTCTTATATCTTAAAAAATATAGAAACAATGCAAAGTGAGTCCAAATCAGGAATTATACCAAAGGTGTACAATAGGTGTAACAGATAGGACAAGTCACAATGGAGCAGAAGTACTTGATCAAAGGGCAAGAAATGGAAATGTCATTTGACAACAGAAAAGGACTGGTAACAGATTTTTTCAAATAACATAAAGCTATGACAACCCCCTCTCGTTTTGTTTATATATTATTTTGCTTTTAGATAACATGTGAGTCACAGGCATTCTTCAAAAACTCCTAACAAACAGGTAATCTACGATTGCTCTGGGTAACAATCTATCACCACAGTTTATAAGCCCAGACTGTCTCAAACTTCTCACTCAACAGGCGATAAGATCTGCTCCCCTCTTCACTTTCGACCTCTATCTTTTGAACGATACCTGCAATCTTTATGGCTACAGGATCCTCTGAAACCGGAACAAGCCCTTCCTTGATTTCAGCCTGCTTTTCAGAGACCAGGGGAGATGTGGCAGGAAGGGAATACTTAGTTTCCACAGAAGCCACAGGCGAGGAGGAAGAGGACTTAGAATCATGGAAAAGACTGGCCCATGACTTAGGCTGACTGACAGGAGTGGTGCCCGCCACAGAGGCCAGGGCCTCGGCGGGAGGGGAAGTGCTCTCGGCCTTAGCTGGGTCCGAGTCCGAGCTTTCGACAGTGTGCAACTCCATCCCATTGGCAGCTGAGCCCTCACCCAAGGATTCAAGTATTTGTCCGTTAGTAACGCCAAGGTTTTCAGTAGTATCAGTCCCAACATAAGGGTGAGCCACAGCTGTCCTCAACAGGCTGTCCGTGTCAGCCTCTGCAGGAAGGCAGGCCTGTTCAAAGTCAGGCCCCTGGCAGCCCTCAGGTGGCCCTGCAGTCCTAGCATTGCTGTCCAGGGCTCTAGGG